CTGTTTATTATATATTATGAGCATCCTCTTGGTTAGTCTTGCTTTCTTCTGGAATGGACTCTTATTCTCAGTTCATGATTACTAGACACTGCATCCTTTTCTCCTCACCCCACCATCAGAAATTCTGAATCAGAGTAGTTAGATTTTCCACCTCACTTTTTCAGAAGACAGCACAACTCCACTTTTTAATTTTATTCTGTCAGCCAGCTTCTGAGTAGACAATACACTGACCCTCACTAACAATAGAAGGGAATTTTGTGTCAGGCAAAATGAACATCTTTTAAGGCAGAAAATTGAGAATCAGTGAACAAAGATGGGTATTAACGAGGATTCCAAGCAAGATACAGTTTCAACCCATAATAAAGTGTGTGGTAATGTAGCAAAAAATAACTTATTTTATGCTTCTGCTATTAGTGTTCATTTATTTTGTTGTTCTTACAGCTTAAAAGGTTATTTTTTTTTTTAATTCATTAAATTCATGAGAGTTTAAATCAGACTTCTGCTTCTGTTCAGTTAAAAATGGCTAGGAGTTAGTAAACAGTGTTGTAAAATCAAACTAATTAGAACTTTTATGAAAAACATGACCACCAGTGTTCCCGGTGCACAACTGCAGTTGTAAAAAGATAAACATCTCTGTGAAGAAAATTTAAGAAGTCATCCCACAGTCCAGTGCAAAGGTGAGTATATACCATGTGTAGCCAGTTAGTGCAACAGGACTAAAAACCATCAGCTCAAAATCCAGTTGAGTGAAATGTGCAAGGATCTTACCTTCCTTTCTCATACTTCAAGGACTAGCTGCCCTGTCACTGGGCAATCAATCTTCCATATAAATGTAAGAAAAAACCCCTCAGCCCTCCTCTCTTCCAAAGTAGTGACTGTTCACATGAAATCACTTTCATCAACATGAATATGCATTTAAAGTAGTGTAAAGTTGTGTTGACTAATTTATTAACAAAAATATGTCTCTCAAATATCAGGTCTGGGTGCAACATTCTTCAGAAGTAACAAAAGAAGTTTGCTCAAATCAAAGTAAATGTCCACATGTCCATGCTCATTACCAAAATCAGCTTTGAACAGATCAGTCTTTAGTGCAGACACCTGTGAAAATGTGGCACGAAAATGCATCAACATGTTCAAAGAAGGACTTGTAAAATTACGTCAGACTCCACTGAATACAAGCAGATTTAAGGATTAATTGCACAGGGGTGGGGTAAGTGGAACCAGCGCCAAAGCATGCAGCTTTTTAAACTGTCAGGCTACAAACCCATTCACACAAACTGTGTACAAGTGAAGTTATGCAAATCATAACTGATTTCAGGAAAATAATGTGCAGAAATCTGTAATTCACATCCAAGCAGAACGGGGAAATCTGAAGTAGACGCCACCTTGCTTACACTGCTGAGACCCTAGCTGCCTTCTGTTGTGCATACACAGCTGTGTATTGTGCATATGCAGCTCTGCACTCTGAATTTGGAAGAGGAATCAAGAACTCACAAGGCAGTAAACTATTAAAACAGGACAAGCAGAGCCTGGGAGAAAAAAAAAAGCTTAGTAACCTGGTAACTTTCCCAGGCTGCCAATCGTGAAATGAATCTAATTGGTAAGGTACTGATATTGGCAGAGAAAAGAGTTAAGTGATGTAATACACCAAGGCAGGAATGTACTGAAAAAGAAACTGGGGTTAGATTGAAATAAATGCTTTTAAGTGTGCAAAAAAAGTGAAAATCTTTTATTATCCAGTGGTCAAGGATGAAAGAACATACCTATCTTTTCCTTGACCTATTCTTACTTCTCCTTTTAGACCTTAATGATCTTAAATTGTGGCAGCCCAATCTGCTCCAAAATATCCTTACTAAAGCTTATCCTTTCTGAAAAGCAATGGAGTCCACTTGTCATGAGCAGCAAAACTGCTCACAGTCTGAATATTTAAAAAATTACTAACTTCAAAATACAGAACTCATTGAGGAGAAAGAGAGAAGCTATTTTTCCCCCAAAAATATAACCTATTCATATGCACAAGGAGGAACCTGATGGATGTGAAAACAGAGTACAGTAGTACCAAAGCTGCAGCTCCGGGTAGGACTCCTAGCCCCACCCTCCTCTATCTGTGGGACATTACTGTCTTCAAAACACTAACATTTGAGCTACTTGTAAACGACCTCCTAAGTAACCAGCTTTCAGGGGCAGTTTCATTACTGCAGTAACAGAGAACAAAAATATCTTTGTTTTTATAAGGCTCCTTCCTCCATTAAGAGAAAAGAGATGCTACAAAACTTCAGGCTGGTTTATCAGCTGTAATGCAGAACAGGTTCAGGCATTAGTCATAAAATGTTAGTGTATCTAACTACAATTTAACGTAGCCAGCTCACACAAATTAATATCTGCTTTTTGGATGTGATACTCTTGGCTAAAGCAAAGTCTTAGACTCTCCCTAATCAGCAGATGTACACAATATAAATCTTCACTGGGACGAGTCTCTCAGGCAACAGGTTCCAACAAACAGGACATTAAACTAAGGGAACCAAAGAGGCTCAGGTATTCATCCCAACTGCATGCTGGCATGCTCCAAGATCTTCACTATACATCTAATGAGCTTGGTGCCAAAAAATGCATTTTGGGGTATCCATACAACACTTTCCCCTCTATTATCAGAAAGAGGTATGAATACAGAAAATCTGTTCAATATTGGAAGTCTGCCTTAGTAATTAAACAACATAAAACAATTAAGGCTTCATGCATTAATCATAACTTAAATGACTTAAAAAAAATCTGCAGCATTGTGATGTTACCTGCTCTGCTCACCACCTCCAATTTCGACCAATTTTGCTTTTCTATCATCACTAAAGTGTGCTTAACTGAATTTCACTAATTCAAAGCAGACAAATGTATCATCTAAACACTGCCACATGCTTCTGCTGTTCCCCACTGCTGAAATACTGTCTGCTCTGGAAATAGAGACTCCTTCACAGCCTTGCAAAATGCCCTGGAGAGGAGTTTTTCTGTGTTTCGTAAAATACAATTTAAGCGCTATGCTTTACGTTAGCCGAGTTCCATCTTATCAGCATTTATACATACTTAGAAAAAAAGCATAGAGATTTGGCATTGCAAGCAAACTTCTAACATAGAACAAATATTATACCAGCATATATGGCTCAGCATTAAAATAATAAATCCTATTTAATTAGAAAACTGAAGAAACTGCTTCTTCACAACCTGAAATCACATCACCACATTTTGCTCATGCGAACAAAGTTTACAGTCATAAGTTGCACATAAAGGGTTTATTTTAAATGTTTTAAGGATAGAGTTACATCATAATTATAAAAATTACTTACAGAATTAAGTAACAGATTTAAAGTGTTTATACTTCTAAATGCAGAGAACAGGGAACTGTCTACATTGTTCAAAATAAAATAAAATAATAAAACCAAGCTCTAAAAATGAAGTCATTACCTAATTTTAAAATGTGAACACGAAGACCTTTGAACTATACACATACCAAGAACCATCCAAATTGCACTAATGATGTAAAATACAAAAAGTACAGCATTTTCAAGGAACCAGAAACTGTTTTTACCGTAATTCTTTTCCCCACAGCAACTAGTCAATTCTATCTGAAGATAAAGCCTCTGTTTTCAGTAATACACTTAAAGGCGGCTTCTACCTGTTGCAATAAAAAGGGTTTTCCCCATAGTCTACTCCAACATAGTTTAGGGTTTGGCACTCAAAAGAAAGAAGAAAAATGTAGTGTTTTGCTGATAACTGCAATTTTATTTTTTCTTTAACAGAATACATGGTCCCTTCAAATGCTGTATGACACATACAACTGGAAAATTACCTTCCGTTGGCACTATGCTCGTCTCACCGGTGCATTTAATCCTACTAACAACCATTAAAACAGCACAATAAGCAAATTCACAAAAAACTGAACACAAAATAAAAACAGAACAAAACAAAAAACCTAAACATTTTAACATGCAACTTTAGTTTGTTACATTGAACGTTCTAACCCTTTAAGCATGCAAAAAAGGATGGTCTGCATTTAAGTGTTTTTTTTTTCCTTTTAAAAAGTTTTACATGGCAGCCTGACGTCACACGCACACACACACAATATACAACAATACTACAGCAGGTAAATGTGAAAGGCGAATAACTTTTATACAAAGATCCATGGCTTGTGCCATCACAAGCCCTATGTGATTTTGGAAAGTAATGTTGAACCCCTATAACAAGGAACCAACATTTAGTTACCAGGGTAACGCAAGCACTGCATGCAGATCTGAAACATGAGCCTAAAACAAAGCCCAAAGCAGATGGGCAGGGAGTGGAAATAGTCTCAAGCCTCAAAAAGGTGGTTTAAGCTATCAGAAAAAGAAAAAAAACAAAAAAAAAACACCCCAAAAAAAGTAAAAGAGGAAAAAAAAAGATGAAATGAAATACCCACACAACAGACAATGGGGCCATCTAAAAACAACCATAAAATTTACGGTTCATAGATTATAGTCTAATTGGCAGAACAGGTGGTATATTCAAGAGGCTTGCAGAAAACCCACAAATGCAAGCCTAATGCTAAAAATGTTCCAGTAGGCCTAAACCTCCGACATTTCAAAACAAACCTTGTATTCCTCAGATATATAGCCCAAAGTTCAGTGTACTAGGTTATTCATGTATCTTGTGTATAGTCAATACACTCACTCACTCTTGTGCCACAAATATCAACTTGGGCTCATGGAGCCAGGCTCAGCTTTGAGATTTACATGCAGGACTCTTAAGAGTCAATAGAAAACACATAACAGATCTGCAGGATGAAAACACTGGGTTGCAAATCTGCTCACTTTGTTCAAAACACAAGGAACATTTACTGACTCGGGTACTTAGTGCTTAAGGACTGCATTGAGAAGCTATTCACTGAAAGACAACAGCCTGCCTTTGGTTGCCCATGATGAAATACTGGACACAATGCAATATAGTAGCAATGGACAAAGAATTAAGGTATCATATTTATATGGAGAGTATTTATTACCATTCAACAGCATAATGAGGCACGAGCCTTAAGGCTAAAATATGAAATCAGGCAAAAAAATGGACAGAAAGGGGCTTAAACCACCGAGTCTTCAGTATCAAGAATACCCACAACAGAGGTCGTCTGGACCTCTGATCTCTGACTAACAGCACCTCTCCTGCATCCTTCCACTAACGGCGTAAGGTTGGATACCAGAGTATTTGTTCCTTCCATCAACAGCGTTGACTGTCTTCACACACTGCATTTCTGTGAAGCAGTTTTTTGAAACTTGCAGACCTCTGCCTTAATGTAACATGACGATTTTGTTGCTGTGCTGATCGTTGTTGCAATTCTGATACTTTTAAAAGCTGCCACACTTAAACTCTAATCTTCATTTACAACTACCTTGCAAGATTAAAACCGTGAAAGGATTTTGCTATTGTGGGCTGCTATTTACATCCACAATCTAATGCAGATGACTGAACCACTGAGACTGCCTATAGCTTCCATTAGATAGTACACCACTGGCATGCAGAACTCTAGTGTTCATAGAATGAAATTCACGTTAACAGCGTACCTCAAAGCAAGTACAATGTACACCACAAAAGGCAACAACAGGTTGAAGCTGTAGATTTGTCCAGACACTCCTTATGTGGAAAAGCCAGAAAAAGAATAAATTGGGAAGACGCCTTCTTGAACCAAAATGGTTAAAACCAAATCAAACCAAAGGAACGCAACAGACTGAGCAGAAGGCAACAAATGCTTCTCCCTCTCTAAAACAAGTCTTCAATGTAAAAGGACACCCCCTCCCACCCCCCGGCATGAGATTGTATTTACCATGTAAAATATTAACTACCATTAGGCTTCTAAGTCCACACACAAACATTCAGGTTGCTAGGTTTTCACATTAAATGAGAGACTACCGATTGCCAATGCGTAGTCTAAAGTCTTCTGAAGTAGCATATATACTGTTAAAGTTGTGGCACCAAGCACTTGGGTTTTGCTAAGAAGTGTGTATAACAAACAAAGAAAGAAGTACAACAATTAGGATTGAAGGCAGCCTTGTTGCATGTATTTTACTGGTTCCTACAACTTGTAAATATGGGCCATTAACCTGCATTTTCTAATTAACTGGTTATACAGATTAAATATATTTTTATAGTTTAAAGCCTTTTCACTGAAAGGTGCATAAGTCAAACACTTGATGTCCTATTGCCCTGTGACTAGTAAAAATGCACACGTATTTCCACGTACTGCAAGTTCTTAAAAAGCTAAATTTAAAATAAAGTGTAGAAACACAGCAGATTGATGTTACTTGGGTTAGGCACTCCTCAATGCTGCACAAACTGTTTAAACCTTTCAGAAAAGTTACCTCTGTCCCAACCCTGAAAACAAGGACTGCCAGTAGCCAAGAAATTAAATTTAATGTTACAAAAGAAGGCATATCAAAATATCAAACTACACTTGCATGTGGCAGTTAAACAAGTGAGTGCAAGGTTGAAGAAAATGTTAAAATCTATGAAAAAAATTAGATTAATGATTAAAATACTAGATCAACTTTACACAGCTTGAATTTGCAGCTGTTCTTTGCTTTTAACTCCCTCCTGCCCAAATATATTGACTTCCTTCAAGAAAAGGAGTTCCCTTACACAAAATGTGTCACGTTTATGTTATTCAGAACAAAACAGTTTTGCTGGCAGAGATTGTGGGTTCGCAGCGACATTTAAGCTTTCATTAAACTGGAAAGCAGTCAAGTCTTTGTGTCTACAAATTGTACATTTAATAGTTCCACAAATTTGGCAAAAGTTCACGAAGATGTCTAGGATGTCTTCACCAAATCGTAGACATAAATATGGAAATCGTCATCAAACTTGATGAAATAGACAGATGGTTTGGCTTCAACTTGATGAATGACCATGCCAGTCCTTTTTGAGCCATCTTCTTTGGCATATTCCACTTGTTTGCCTACCAGGCTGTCCACAACTTCACCTGGTTCACGTTCTGCAGGAGGTGAATCATCTGTAACACAAAACCAGTGTACTTTGGTAGACATTAACTGATTTTTTCAATATGGAAGACAACTGCAGAGTCTTCTTCAAAACTCATATGAAACAATCAGAAGTTTTAAATACAGAGTATGTAGAAAATCAGTTTTGTTCAGACAAGCACCTAACGATTGCCATGTGTCTCGAAAATGCAGTTGCAGGAAAAGTTTCAAGTAACACTGTCTTCAGTTTTATTAAGACAAAAGTAGCATTTTGATTGGTACGAGAAGTAAGTCTTTTGACATGAAGGTTTATGCACAAGTTATAGAACATGTCCGTAGATAATTGAATTTAAGCCACCAGCACAAAAAGGCACTGGGTCTCCTTAGCAGAAAGGCAGTCAAACTAAATCTCCCTCTTCCCACACACATCATTCAGAGTTTCACTGCATGCATGCCACTTCAACAAAAACATCTCTTCTAAAATGTTAGTAGGTGTAAACTCCTTATTAAAAGGGGCTTTTGACTTCATATTGGAATAATGCTGTTGGTAAAGTCTAACCATATCGTCTTCTTGTGTAGCAAAACCTAGCCATAAATACCTTTGTATTTTAGCTGATGCCTATGCTAAACTTGGATACAAAGAGGCATGATTTGTAGCATGTCAGTTGCCAGGGGGCTGGTTACAAAACAATCACAGAATAAATGTGATAAAAGGTAAAAGCACTGTACTGGAGAACTGGAAGCTAAGCACACCTTCTTTCTCAGCTTGTCTTTGTGACTAGTTTAGATAAACTTGTGTTTTGTATTCCAGTGAGGAATCTTCTTATAAGGGTCACACCTGATGTGGCTTTTACCCTGGAAATCCTAAGCCTTTAAATAAATGTCTTTTTTCCAAGTTTGCATTAAGAATCACTTACATATTTCGCCTATTTTCAGTTCTGTGAGTTGTGAAAGAACTACCAAAGGAGAAATAAAACCAACAAGCAATGAACAGATTGGCTTGTACTTGCACTTAAGATTCTTCCACAAACTTCAGAAGTTTCTCTTTCAACTTTTATTTCAGTTTCTCTATAAACACAGTCATACATAGTTACTATTCTCTTAATATCATTTCTATGTAAAGAGTTTTCCTTGGCAAAGATGCAAGTTAAATTCTTACATTTTCATTTACAAGGAATTACAAAGCGTTGACAAAGCTTTAGTATCAGATCCAGCAATACATTCTCCCCTTATCGAAAAAGCTTAAAAGAAATTATCTACATTTTGTTCCCTTCACGTACGCAAAGCCTGTCTTTGAGAAGAAAGGGTTCCCTAGAAACTTTAGTTATAATACTATGGCAAGTTCCACCAAATTTACAGATATTCTTTCAGGTATTCTACAATCTGATTTGAAAAGTACTATTCTTAACATCCAATCATTGGCTTAAGGACACAATTCAAAAGATCTGCAAAGTATCCAGATTCAGGGAAGGCAGCAAATACTTAGAAGCATCTTGGAAACAGGTAAGCAGTCAGTAAATAGTCTCGTGGTGAACATGGAGGAAAAAGTGCACTAAAACCAGATGGTAAAAAAAAACATTCCAAATTCTTTTTAATAGTTTGGACAGAACAAATTATTTGAAGATTCAAATCCGAAAGAGCTTGCTTTATTTCTTTAGGAAGAGGAAGGTCACTTTGTTTTCATTAACACTTGTGGATCACTCTTTACAGGCAGCAGACGTTGCTTTTTGTTAAGAGGGGTGTGTGTGTGTGTGTGTAAAATCTAAACACAGATGATTACTACAGACATTATGCAAGTAAGTGCCACTTGTTTATTTAGCCAGCAGACTGTTATCACTGATAGATCTGAAGGAAGACAGTCTCAAACAACAAATTAATTTTAACTAATACTTATGTAAAACACTGAGTTGCCAACCTCTACACTTACCCAATTATCTTCTTTAAAGCCCAGATTTCTTCTGTCAGAGAAGTGTGTTTTAGGCACATGGGAGAAATAAAACTGAAGTACCCTTTCAAAGCTTTTTTGCCTTCTTTTTTGAACTGGCTATCCAAATCTCCTGAACAATATACATTCTGTGAAAATCCTTTTAAATTAATAGCAAAAGCCCTAATGACTTTCACTTCAACCACAAAACTTGTGGTTTGTCAGTTTCCATTAAAAAATCCATGCATTAACTCTTCCACAGTAGTATGTACATATTTTCAGCAGAACTAGAAATAATTATGGAAAATGCTTTCCCTGCATGTGTCACTGCTGATAAAATATTTCATCAGTTAACACCGATGCTCTTTGTTTAACTATAACCTCTGTCAGCTGTGATACTTTTAAAAAAAAAAAATTTGAAGGGAGTAACAAACAAGATGTCTCTGTCCATAAATAAAACACAGCCAAATGTTAACATAAAAAGCTGCCAGTTCCCAGAACAAAGCAGTAACCGGCCTACTTACTTGAATCGGGCATAATGCGAAGGTCACCTTCTTTATAGTCATCTAAGAGTTGGTACATATACAAGACGGGATCTTTCTCGTAGGTAATATAAAACCACGTGTTCATAATAGGAGCTCGAGCCAAAACCATCCCCCTCCATTCATCTTTTGAGCCATCCTCTGTCTCAAACATATGTTCCACAGCTTTACCAATCATTGTGTCTGCCAGGTGGGCATCACTGATTCGAGATGAAGCTGAAATGACAGCATTGCCTAAGTTCATTCAAAAGCAGAGATATATGTCTTTCTGAAAAAATAATCTTTACCCTGATTGATAAACAAATTTGGTTGGAAGTTATTCATATACAAAACAAACACTGTCCATTCCAGAGAGTTCACTGCTGAAGAACTGCAGAACATCAGCATGTTGTTAAAATAACAATACATCATAGTGCTCCCTACAATTAAACTATCGTCATGCAAGATAAAGGGAGATCAATCGAGCCAAAGCAGTGAAGCCTCTTTGCATTTTAACTAGACATTATAGAGGGGGAGAGGCAGGCAGGGAAGAAGAGTAAGAGAAGCCAATCACAGAACAGTTCTATGAAGTTATTAACGAAACTTTGGGGTTTGATTCCCCCTAACACCAGTCTAGAGACTGCTACCAATGGCTCTGCAGTCAGAAGAAGCAACAGCTTATTCTGTTTATCAACTAGCAATTACTTCGGTAAATTATCAAACTTGGCAGTTTGAAAAGCCTGCAGTTTAACATTCCAGTGCTAATTCTGAAAATGAAAAAGCCTTGTTACTAATAAAGTTGTTTCACTTGGAAAACGCCCTTCCCCAAAGTACTTTTATTAATAGGGGGAAAGTACATGAGAAAAAATGTAGCATTATAACTGTCAGATACACACAACAGACAACACATCCAAGATGGCTTAGAGTTTCAATTTTTAACAGAAGTATCAATGTTAACTTTACATATTGTTCTTAGGGATAAGACTCTAAACAAAAACTACAGAATTCACTGCATACTACTTAAAGACAGAAGACAGCACTGCACTCATTGGTATCATCAGATCTTTCTGGAATCAAGAAAATTTAAATAAAGCATTTAGATTACCTGCCATGTGACAAAAATTAAATGGACTAATAAATTTCAAGTGGTCAGATGTTATCCTCAGGGAAGTCTGGAGAGATTAGTGGAGAACACTGAACAGTAAATGTTGGCTTATATGTCTGTGAATTTAGGAGAAAAATCAAAATCACCTACCAACTCTGTCTGGAAGAACTTCAAGTGCTGAAACTCTTTCATCTTTGTGCAGTTCTAGTCCATACACACAGTCAAAACCATCATACTTTATAAGATATAGAGAAGGATTTACAGGAACTTGATCAAGAACTGTGCCCTTCCACTGTGTTACAGGTCCACTCCCTTCTTTCCATCCATGCTGTATTCTGCAGCCTACAATATTTCTTCGTGGCTGAGAAATAGGTTTGCTTGGTCCCACATTGTTTCTATGCTTTCTGTACACAGACACAAACATAATATTAAACGAGTACATACATATTCAAAATTCTACTCCAGACAAGAGCTGTATGCTTTAAGATGGTAATGTGTTTTATAGCTTAGCGCACCTTATTCATATTAGGATATAAAACATATTACACTGTACTGGAAAAAAGAAAAAACACACTGAAAAGTAGTGAAAGATTTTTTGATGTGCTTTGTAAGGTCAGTTTCCTAACAGTTGTTTCTAAAACTAGTTTGGTTGAGCCAAAAGAATTATTTCAGCCCTTGCCACATTAAATATCAACAGTAAAACTGAGCTGGATCAAGTCTCAAAGCATGAGGTTATCTGGCACTATTGTAACTTTACTGCCTTGTTGCTCACTGCAGAAAAGTAAATGCAACTCCTGTTCCAGGAAGAAGTAGTCAGTGCAAACACTACAAGTGCCTCACTAAAATTCTTCCAAGGCATTTGTTTTCTCTAACCTGTGTTTTCACCTGAAGAAAATCTAGCTTCCTTCTCCATTTAGAGTTATTTTTTACTCCAAATGTTTTTAAAAACACATAGTACCAACAACACTTCTCTAAGCATTCCTTTTTAGTATAGCAAAAGAAAAATGATATGCAATGATAATGGCAATAGAATGGATACTCCTTAATATGGAAAACAGATCAAATATACTTTTTTGTCCTTCCTCTATTTCCATGGAAGTTGCACGGAAATTCCCTCTGGTGAATAACAGTTGGGATCAACAGTCATACAAGCTATTTAACAGTTTCAAATCATTAGAAGCGTTAAACAAGTTTTGTTCCACTCAGTTATCAAAAACACAAATTGACAATTTTTAATACAAATGGAAGCAACTAAGGAACATTACGACAGTATATTAGTGATAAGAAATGGATATTGTATCTATTTTAGCCTGTTACAATGCACTTACTTATTCCTAAAAAGATTATTTAGAGGGTTGCCTGATCAAACTTCTCATGAATGTAAACTAGCTGTAGAATAAATTTTCAGGTTACTATTTGTAGCATACTTCATTTCAATGGCAGTAAAATATGCACACCACTAGCATGCTTAAAAGCAACAACAAAAAGAGTCTATCAGTTGCAGAAAACAATTATCTTCCTTAGATTAGTGACCAAAGAGAAACATCTCCTGGAACGGTGGATACTCTCAGAAAAGTCCCTGTATGACCCAAAAAAACACAAACAACAATCATACCACTGAAATCCTGGAAGCAGCTTTTCAGAATAACGCACTCACTACATGACACTGCAATGCATAATGCTGAAGATGTAATCATAACTATTAAAAATTTTGTTATCATTTGACCTTTTCAGCAAGATCACTGCAGTTTTTGTATTCCTAACGTTGACAGCACAGATTATTACAGGAATTCCAGCCTCTTCCAGTTAAGAGGCACTCTCGCACAAAGCTGGTTCTAATTTAATGCAGAAACTAGAACGTGTTTTCAAGTCCTTGCTCAGGTATATTTCTTTAAAAAACTGTAAAAGTCTCAGTAATAGTTTACTATTACAAAATGAGATTGGAGATCTGGTTCTTGGCATAATAAAAAAAGAGTTTGTTTTGCATGCAATTCATTTATGTAGTTCTAATGAATCGTAGTTCCATTCTGTTGCAAAATAAAACCAACTAAAGATAAAAAAGTTAAAGTAGACAAAACAATATCAAACAGTTTGTCTCTGCTGCTGATAATCTGATCACTGAAAAAGGTTTTAATGTTCAGACCTCACAGTCAATTTTGCTTTCTGCCTATAAAGCATAATCCACTTTAATGTTAAAATCAGAACAGTTAAGCAAAAAGCTCTATACTCATTTTAAAAAGTATGATTGAAGATGACTACATAACTGAGTTCAAACTGGTAACCACCTTTAAAATGCCTCAGGGCAAAAAGAATTAAAAATTTAATTACAAGTCAAGTACCCGCCAGGTGTACTTGCAGTTCAAATTTTTGTTTGAAGGTTGTACTGCTGAACAGCCATTCACTCTCATTTGCAGTTGTTCACACTGTTAAGAAATTATATTTTCAATATAGTAAATTACCAAGGAAAACCTACTTCTTCCTGCATCTAAACATGCGGTAAGAAAGTAAGCATAGGTTTCTAACTATCGATAAATAATAGCTATGAATATACTTCCACTTAAGACAACCAAGTAACCAACTTCAACCTCTTCTCAACAGTGTTATTTCTGTGACACACCTAGCAATACAAATGTACATCACCTTCTACGATGCTATATCCAGAAGACCCCACACAATTTTCTCCTTCTGTTTCATCAGAATTATCTTTAAAATTCTGTAAAGATTTGCTCTTAAAGACTGGATAATGGTTTTCCTAGACACATAAAACATGGAGCCAAAAAACACAGAGAACAGCAAGTCCTGCAAATAGCTCTTGCCACATTAGACACATCATCATTGGAAGCGGCCCTTCAATCCCCAAAAGTTTCAGATCCTCTTCCTTATCTTGAAGGCAGTGAGCTGGTAAGTAAAATCTAGTTATGTGAAAAGGTTTCATTATCAGAACCAGACACTTTAGAAAATTTCTAAAGACTACACAGGCAGAAAGCAGTCCTCTCACATTTTAAAGCTGCAATTATATGGTTTTTGCACAAACTTTTATTTGTCAGCTGCTACCAGGGAAACCAATGTAGTGCAGAACTCCACATGACTGGTAGAAGAAAAAAATCAACTGCTACTTCAGTGTTGTGCTTAAAAGACAAACTAGCATTTATAAAAAGAAGAATGGTGATTCCCAATAACCTATCAAGTAAAGTTCTTAATTTAGGTTTGGTTGTTGGTTGTTCTATTTTTCTGACCATCTCATCTCAGCAAAACACCACACAACTAAGAAAAAAACCAGAAGGTTGAAAGAAAACCATATCCCTCAGATATGGAAAAAGGCACAACTGTGAAAAACAGGAAGGAAAACTATAAAAAAAAGTATTAATGCACTACAGCAGCAATGGTGAGCACAATTTCAAGTCTTTCATGGTGCTAAGCAGAGAAGTTATTAAAAACAGGACCCAAAACTTACCACAACTGTGATCTTACTACAGACTATCATTAATAGCAGAATGGTGATGAGAGAATTGTTCTTAACTACTTTTCACAATATTGAGACTGAGGCACATCAGCTGAGGCAAAAGTGTAAAACTGCTTTCTGTACACCCTCAAAAGCCATCAATCTGTTGTGAATTTCACCTTCAGATGCTGCAGGAACCAAGATTACAAGTTAGCCTAAAACAGGATCAGAATTTCAAAATGTTTAAGTTCACTTGTAGTTAAACTGCAGGTACAACCTACCCCTCAAAGTCCTTGAGTCACCAACTACAAGAAATCTGGAAAGCCTATGAATAAGAGGTTGTTTTATACTTACCCTAATTCTTGTACTCTTTCCTTATGCATCAAGGGTGGAAAGAATGAGATCTGGAAGATTACAGACTGATCTGATGCCAGTGAGGTCATCTTCATACTGGCAGAGATCACCACTACCCATTGACAGAGCACTTGGAAGAACTGCCCTATAACCACGTGAACTATTTCCAAAAGGCTCGACAGTTAACTGCCATTTAGTAAAGAAGAGTTCAGAAGACTCATCCACACTGCTCATTCTACCCCATCTTCAATTACAGTTATGCCCTGTTCCATGCTCTTGGCTCCTTCCTCTGCCACAAACCTTCTCAAGCTAGTTTAAAGTCTTATCAGCCTTTGAGTGTCAGTAGGCTTATTCCTCTTTTTCTTTGAATGAGAAGTAACTAAATAAATAACTAAATCAGTGACAAAGTATGCATTACTAACTCACGGTCTACCATAACAGCTCAGAATAATATCAGCATATATTATTACATGGTCATTCACGTTCTACTCGTTTATGGTAAACTACAAATATAAACAATTCTCTACTACTCTGCCTCAAACAAGTCAGTGAGCAGCACACAAAAGATCATCTTGGTTCAGTACACAAAACCTTTACTAAATAATTAATACACAATTGAACTAGGCTAAATTAGCATAAAACTAAGCTGGACACTTAAAGTTAAATGCCTCAAAATCATGTCACTTAGGATCAAAACTTCGTATACCTCATAAAAGCCTTTGTGCTAACAAATTTACAGCCTACTTCAGTATTTAAATAAGTGTATATCAACACAACAATAAAGACAAATCTAGCCACCCTCAAGTACAAAAGGCAACCCACCTCTGATAGTCTTCCCATCATACACTCCTTTCTCTGAGCGGTTGAAAGAGAACAAGAGAAATTAAGTTTTAACCAACTCTACCTGCCCCTAGACAAAAAAATGTTTCTCTTTGCCTTCTATGAAGATAGACAAGAATGGATAATGATGAGCTGGTGGAAGGGGTTAGAGTAGTTTTACATCAGGTGTTGTCTCTGGGAAAAAGTTAACACTATTAGCAGTGATTAACTATGTTAATTGTGGAAAATACACCTGCCAAACAACTCAACTGATGCACCACTATAGGACTTCACACTTAAAATACGACTGGTAACATTTTCAGTTAAGTTTCACACTTACCCATCTTAGATTTTTCCCACCAGAGATGTAGCTAGATATATCTTGCTGTTTGACACTAAGATCAATTATGCCCAGAATATTACCTCTATTTTCACACAGCTACTCACCAATGTTCAGCTGCTACTATTTAAAAACATTGTATAGGGAAAAATACATGCCATGAATGTCTAGGATAAGCAGGTATCCTTCACACACGCAAATAGCAGCCACCTTACAGGAGTACTTCGGTATATGCTTGATTTTAGAAAAGTAAAAAATCCTTTTCAAAACTACAGTTGTAATGAATGCAAGATCAGGTATTTCTAAGATTACTTCCAGACTGGGTTATCAGCAAGCATGCTTTGCAGTTTTTACCAGCGTGGCGACAATGCACGAACTCTGTGCCAGAGAACAGAGATCCTACAGAGCACGTGGCTAACTTCTGGCTTGCAACTCCTTCTCTCAGTTACAAAATTGTATTCAAGGACAATTTCATATTAACAGTCAAAATGATTTTAAAACTTTATCTGTGGGGCTTTCTTTCCTACCATCCTCCAGACAAACTTAAAAGTCTGACTCTATACACATGCACAGACTGCATACTGTTCCACATGGCTTTCAAAAACAAAGTGTGCGGAACAATACAGATGTTTTTCTAGAACAGTACCTCCAGTTACTGAGAGCTATACTTTAGTAAAAATATTAACAACTTACTTGTGGGAAGTTCTTTTCTTCATCATGCTGGCAGATACTCCTGCATGACCTACAATATAAATGACGTTGGAGTTATTGAAAAACAAAGTGTGTATATAATGCCAAAAAAAGCCATATTATACAAAAGTCTTTCTTTTGAATGTCAAAATGTAAAAAATCCAAACACTTCATGTTATGACTGATCAATGAACTGCTACCATGGGAGAAAGCTCTGCAAAGCTATACACAGTCGACATACTCATGAAGCTCACAGATGAACACAAGGAGAAACTGACCACAACTATTAAAAACAAAGCCGAAATCAACACAATATAGACATGTGTAGTCTTTGTTCTGGGAAAACGATTGTAAAAACCCAGACGATCAATCAGCTACAACAGTTACGTGACTCAACTGGCTTTCTAACTTACCATCCTTTAGTTAATCAAAAAGGTGCAAATACACATCTTCCTGTGCTAGCCAGAATGGCACTGGGGAAGTATACACACATCTCAGCCTAACAAGAGGCTTTTTTCACACAAAAAATGAACAATGAACAAAAAAATCCTTCAGAAGAGAAACAGGCTTGAGCTGGCTTCAATCTGTGTATTCCTTCCCTGCAACTGGAGACACCCAGTGCTGTGACAGTGAGCATGTTATAGAGATCAGTACACAGAATCACATTTGTATTGACACACAGTTTTATATTGCAATTATTATATTCTGATAAGTACTGGTGATTTTATGGTTGTAGCATGCTGTGATGCAATGTACAAAAAAACCTTTAAAAAAGGTATTAAAACATTAAACTCTCTTTTTGTGCAACATGTAAGAGAACCTGGTCAGAGAGTGGTGGACTCTTCACACTAACTGGCATCATGGCCTTGACAGGGTGGATGATATGTACTATTAGTTCAGTAATACTGGGAGTTCTGATTTAGAGCTTTAGTCATGAATAAGAGCCTCAGCGAGGTGACCTGCTCTGTAAGGAAAGGTAGTGATATGACTGTCTACAGTCAGGCCCTTCACCGCTTAGAGGGGATAAAACATCGCGAGTGCTAACAAAGGCTGGGAAAAGCTAGCCGATAAACTCGAAAAAAAGGAATGGAGAAATCCTGAGTGGGATTTTTTCATGGACGGAAGAACATTGCACTGATACTCATTATATTCATATTGCACTGATATATCATTCCAGTGATATTTTGGTATTAATATGAAAAATGGAAAGCGTCTAGTAAGTTGGAGAGCGGACAGCGGAAAGCAGGCGTGTGCTGGTTGTTAGAAAGCTCCTTGTGAGCAGGAGTGAAGAAGTCAGTAGCCAAGATATGCAAGAACAAGATGATAGAAAACACAGTTACAAAAGATAGTGATGTATAAAAGCTGATGTGCACAGCTAGAAAAATCAAATTAAGTTCTTAGAATGAAAACTGCAGGCACAGATCATAGCCA